GAAGGCTCTTCCAGTTCCAGATCTATGGTTTTGCAGATGGGGAAACTGAGGCTTGCATATTTGAAGCAACTTGCCCATGGTCACATACCTCGTACATTTCAGAATTGAGATTTGAACCCAGGTTTCCAATCTCTCATTTCAGCCCTCTATCCTCTAAGTCATTCTGCCCCCTCAAGAGAAGATCATTCTTCCTGCTCTATAAATTACAGTATAAAATCCCCAAGATCTTCCTTGAGTTGCTACAGTTCAGATAGGCAGTCATTGGCCAATGTGGATCTAGATCCCAAGTCTGATTGCTGAAGATCCTTAAGAAAGGAAGAAGATGGACTCTGGGCTTAACCTAGGGAATCCAGAGCTCAGTGTATTCTTAGCTGGTCTTCTGACAAGGAAGGATGCCACATCCTTCCCTTCTCTGCAGAGAGCTGGTAAATAAAATGTATACAAATACTGGGGCAGCTGGCTAGCTGGCTGGCAGACAGAGAAAGAGGGGCACTCAGACTTGTGTCTTGGGGAAAGAAGATGGATGGGCCTCATTTCTCCTCCATGGCTGATGTATCAATGGAAGCCTGCCCAGTATGCCTGCCCCCTCTTCAAAGCTGTCAGTGACAGATGAGGATCGAAATGTTTTTGCTTAAAAGAAGAAAAAAAATTAAAAAAAAAATTCCTCCCCACCCAAGAGGCCCAGGCGTTGTAAATGGATTAGAGAATACCAAAGCATGCCATGGTGTTAGGCAAGGCTTCCAAGCTGGCTCCTTTATAATTATTTGCAAAATTGTCAACTTTTCCCTTCAGATCTGTTTACTTTCTAAACAAGAGCCCCATTGAAGCTCAGTTCAGGGTCAGTCCCCTTTGCCCCATCTGGCTTCCCCAGGAGGACAAGGGACAGTCTTCCTCACATTTTCATCTCTACCTGCTGAGACACAAATTCTGTTCCAATTAAAATTGCCCTTTCATTTTAAAATAGTAAACAATCTCTATTTAATTTGAAGGGAATATAGAGGGAGAAAAAATTAAGAGGACCTAATTATTACAGCAACTTGAAAGCGAGTTGGAATTATTAAAACATGGAAAAATAGCTCCTCGTGCTTTGTGAATTTAAAGGTCATTGGGAGGTCATCTAATCCATTCCACTGCCTCTCCCTGGGACCAGCACCATGAGACCTGGGCTGCAGCAGACTCTCCCACTGAAAACCTTAATGACTAGCTGAGGATTATGAATTTGGGGCTATCAGGGACCTTTGAAGCCATCTACCCCAATCCTAACATTTCACAAAGGAGGAAACTGAGGTCAAATGACTTCTATAAGATCACACAGGTAGTAAGTAAAATTGGAAGCCAGGTCCTGTCACTCCACATGCAGCATTCTTTTCACTATATCATTCCACTTGCCACCAAGACTGTAGAATTATATAGCCATAGATTGAGAGCAGGAAGGGATGCTAGAGGCCCCACCCAGTCCAACTCTCACTTTACTGGTAAGGAAATAAAGTCTGGAGAGATTATGTCATCAAGATTATGCCGTAAGGTCACAGAGGCAGTGAATAGCAAAGCTGAGATTTGAACTCAGGTCCCCGGCTCAAAATGCAGTGTTCTTCCCACTACACAGGGTTGCTCAAAACTAGATCATTACAGGATGATAGAGGTAAAGCTGGAAGGGTAATTGGAGGTCATTTAGACTAGAGGTGTCCAAAGAAATGGGTGTTCCTAAACTGGACACTAGGATCCCTCAGGGTAGCATAATGACTCAGAAAACCACACGTTATTACCTGTGTTTTCTTGTGTTTTAATTTATTTTGTTACCTACTTCCCCTAGTTCAGACTGGGGAGTGTTGTATTTCACCCTTCTTACTTAGACCGACTCTTTCTTTTCAAGGATGAAGGTTCAGAGACATGAAACCACTGACCCAAGGCCACGTGAAATGACTGAGGTGAAATTCAAATCACGATCCTCTTGACTGCATTGTTCCCACAATATATGTTGTCCAGATGACCTCACACTGGTTTTCCTTCTCTCCCTCTCTTTAAGCATCTCATGAAAAGGTAGGTAGGTCTTCTGACCCAGTGCCCTGTGGTCACTAGGCTGACTGTTTCTCCCAGTATCATGAGAAAGCTCCAAGCAGGACTCTGCAGTACTGTCTTGGGGCTGTTCTATGACCGAGCATCTAATGGAGTGTTTGGGATTCCTCTGCAGTCCGGATGCAGATTGTCCAAACTGAATCCACATTTCACTCATAATCAACCAAAACAGGCATTTCAGAAATGTGAGACATTTGGGAATATTTTTTAAACTAGAACAGAATAGGGGGAGGGACTGGCCCACTTTAGTTTCAACAAAGAGCAGCCTGACCCAGATCAGAGGATGCTAGGGCAGAAGTAAACCCAGAATGCAATGTGACGTCAATTTGGAGCTGACCCTGGCTGGGATGAGCACTTAGGTCTGGCCCTAGCCTCAGTCAGTTCGGAGATTTAGAGGTGTAAGGGGCTTCAGACATCTTCTAGCTTATCCCTCCCCACTCCTCTATTGTTTCGGAGACAGCAAAATGGAGATGGAAAGATATTATGTAACTTGTTCATTGTCTTCAGACAGAGGTTGAAAGATATCATGTAACTTGTTCATATTGTTACAGATACAAAGGAGTTGAGCAGAGATTTGTTTTCAGTTTCTCTGATGCTAGATGCAGAATTCATTCCACTCTACTGCCTTTGTTCATGGACAGTCTCAGTCTTGTTGGGTAGGATGCTGGCGAACTAATTACTATCAGCTTCTAGATTGGTGAGAATGGATGATTTACTTCAGAATGTGAGCTCCTGGAGGGCAGAGACTGCTTCTTTGTGTGTGTGTGTGTGTGTGTGTGTGTGTATCTCCCACACTTAGCCTGGTGCCTGGCGTGAAGTAGGTATTTCACAAATGTTTGCTGAATATATGAGTACAACATAAGCTCCTTGATGGTAGGCTCCATACAATACTTTAGCATTGTATACTGGGGCTTAATGTAGTACCTGGAACATTGTAGGTGCATAATGCATGACTTTTCAATGGATGACTAGAGCAAGGATTATTTCATTTTTGTCTTTATATTCCTTTAGCATGATGCCTGGAACATAGCTAATCATAGTAACAACAACAACAACAACAACATTTATGTAAGACTTTAAGGTTTGTAAACCTCTTTGTATGCAGTATCTCATTATTTCTCACAACAGCCATAGGAGGTAGCTGCCAATGTTGGCCTCATTTTACAGATGAGGAAATTGAGGCAAAAGAAAATAAGGGACTTGTCCAGGGTCACACAGCTACTAAGTGTCCAAGACGGGATTTGAATTCAGGTCTTTCTGATTCCAGGCACAGGGCTCTATCCACTGTGCCATCTAGCTGCCCTAAGGTAAGATTCAAACTCAGGTTTTCCTAGCTTCAAGTCCAACACTCTGTCCACTGGGTCACCTAGATTAAGAAAGGCTTATTGAGTTGAACAGAATACAACCAAAGGGAAGCTGGTTGAGGGAGGGGCAGTCTGTCACTTCATTGATTTTGGCCCATCAATGTGACTGAGTACAAGACACAGAATTAGTGAATCACAAACCCCAGATACTCAGAGTCAAGTATGACTGTTTGTGCTAACCAGAACAAAATTTCTCTTCTATCTAAACTTCTACTCAAAGACATACCAAGCCTACCACACAACAGCATAACTGACTATACATAGCTAGGATTATCACCCTGTAACAATAGTGAAGAGCCTAGAGGAGATTTCAGTCCTTTCCAATTAAAACACATGCAAAGACAGAGTCCAAATGGGAAGAAAAATCTAGATTTTTAAAGCTATATTATAAATGACTCATATGCAGAAAATCACCAACAGATTCTGACTGAATGTGAGTTGGGAAGGAGCTTTTAGCCATCTAATTTAATCTGTACTTGACTTGAGAATCCCTCTCAACCTTGCCTTGGATAAACAGCCATCCAGAAGACCTTGCAGAACAGGGAAGCCCCTATCCTCCCTTCAAGGCAGCACATTCCCTCAGTGGGGAGAGTTCAGTGCAGGGAAATTTAGGAAAACGTGCAACTATCTAATGTAACTAGAATATCATTGTGAGTGTGAGAAATCTTCCTAGAGTCATACAAACAGATGCATCCCGTGGTAAGACAAGGTCATTGTCAACCTCTGCCAGGTTCCTACTAGGAAGGCAGTACCCAGACAGCTGTTTGTTTGTTTGTTTGTTTCCCTTAATAGCTATTTCCCCACAAAGCTTCATTCAGTCTAGAATCCTTCTTTAAAGAGGCAACATATGTAATGGTCAAACCTAATGGCTGCCATTTTTAAAAGAAAGATCATTACTAGTTTCTCAACTGTTATCTAATCTCAAATTCCCATACAGCTGAGGCATCATTCCCCCTTGCCTCTTCTCCTAGTAGCCATAGATTTGGGAGGATAAGAGTGCAAAAGCAACTGGTCCTCAGTGTTGATGAGACAACATCATGCTCTCAAGAAGAACGGACTCTTTTAATATACCTTTGCAAAATTGTGACTATGAGGAATTGAGAGAAGCATGGAAAAACTTGTATGAACTGATGCAGAGTGAAAGAAAGCAGAACCAGGAAAAAAGATATATACTAATTACAACAATGTAAACTAAGACCACACTAACACTAATTGCAGTGATCAATCTTGTTCTGAGAATAATAATAAAACACATTTGTATTCTCTCAATAGACAGGTGGGGAGATGTAGGCATGGAATGCTGCATAAGCTATCTCTGTTGTTCAGTTTTTCTAAAATGTTTTTATTTGTTGCAGGGAAAGGCGTAATGAAGAAGGGGTTATGCCAGGAAATGATTGTGATATAAAAATATAAGTTACTAATAAAATATTTTTAAAAACAACTTAATAAAAAGTGCTTGTCCTTAGGCAGAACAGCAGTGCCAGGGAAATCAGTTACCTGACCAAGTGAACATAAAGCACTCTTACTTTGCTCATGGATAGAAACAAACAAGAGTATTACCTGCTACCACGGGTGATTTCCTGTCATCAAGGAGTTGGATGGAAGTACTAGCAGTCACCACGTTGCTTTTGTTTGCTGTTCCTGTTAGAAGGGAAAAACAGCTATGGTATTACAGTGGATTAATTCACCACGATTATCAAAGTAAATGACATGAACTTATGGCATCTTCAACATTTATCCCTCATTGGGGAGACCCTTCCACCCAGGCAGATCCTAACCTATTCATTGATATAGTTGATAGCTCCTATAGAGTATCTAGAGGTGGAGAAAGGTTAAGGGTATTGGCCAGAGTAATACAATTATTATCAGACCTTGAATTCATGGAATTTTAGAAACATAGAATTTGAGAGTTGGAAGGGACCTCAGTGGCTATCTTGCCCAATGCACATAAAAAAAATATTCCCAACTACTTTTACTAAAGTCTTGCTGATTCTAAGTCCTACACCAGCCAGGCTGGTATGGGCTTAGGCTCAGTAATCCTTGTTGGTATCTTCTCCTGGATGAGAGTCAACATTGGTACAATAGCCAAAAAAGCTAAAACAATCTTAGAATGTATCAATAAACATTGACTCCAACAATAAGACAGTCATTAACTCAACAAATATTTATTAAGTACTTGCTCTGTTTCAGGCACTATGCCAAATGCACTTCCCTAGTGAAAATATGACTGTAGTATTATATTCACTTCCAGGCACCACATTTTAGAAAGAGGATTGATAAACTGGAGACCATCCAAAATCTACCAGGATATTGATGGTCCTTGAGTTCATACTGATTGAAGGAGCTTTTTAAGGAACTGAGGCTACCTAGCCTGGAGAAAAGGAATTTTTGAATTGAAGGAGGAGAGTAACTGCCTTAAACTATTTGAAGGGCCATCATGCAGAAAGAGGATTATGGACTCATTCTTGGTTCCAGAGGACAGAAGTAGAATCCTTGGGCAAAAGCAGCAGAGAGGCAAATGTAGTCTCAGTATAAGGGGACAGACAGATTTCTTACAACTAGAGATATTCCAGAGTAAGATGGACTTCTTTGGGAGATAGTGGATTCCTCTCACTGAAAGTCTTCAAGAAATGATTGGAAAGCCCCATATAGATATAGTCAAGGTAGGGATTCTAACTCAGGCCACAGAAGCTCCTCCCAACCCTAAGATCCTCTGATTCTTCTTAGGTCATAAGAGTACCATTGAGATGTGACTACTTTGCAAACTCTGGTAGACCTGATTGGTTATCACCTGACTTGGATCAGGACCTCAGCTTAATTTTCTCCTTTCTCCTAGAATTCTTTACAGTCTAGAACATACAGCATGTTGAGTAGCACATAATTACTGCCCCCTATGTTTACTTATCTCAATAGTCATATTTATATTCTGTCCACAAAGATACATCATGGGATAGCAGCTGGACAAGAAGTTTGGAAATAGTTTTCAAATGAGTTGAGAGCATTGGCTCTGATTTCTTGGTTCAGAATGGACTGATCCGTAAAATCTTATTGAAAGCCCTGGGTTTCTGGGCACATCTATTCCAAATATGGATAAAATAAGAATGTAATGCTTACTCCAAAGACTCATTAATAGCTTCTTGGATATTGCTAATGGCTACAGACTGCAAAGTGGCAAGTTGCCAAATATTGATTTGGAATGCCACCAAAGCAGTGACATCAGGCATCATATGGAAATTATCTGGATTCTTCTTGTAGGTAGCCAAATGCTATATAAGGAAGTAAAACTCTCTCTGCTGTCCTGGAATCAATATTGCAGAATGTCAAAGCAGCCCAGCATCTTAGAAATCACCTGGTTTAATAGATTCTTTCTAGAGATAAGGAAACTGAATCTCAGGGAGGTCATATGACTCATCCAAGGTTACACAGAAAGCCAGGACTAGACCCCAGGGCTCCTAACTCAGAGACGTGGACTTTTTAATAAAATCACAGAATCTCAGGGTTGGAACAGTCATCTAGTCCAACTCAAACCGGGACAAGAAACCCTACAATGATATCCCTGACAAGTAGCCATCAAGTCTCTGAATGAAGATCTCCAATGAGAGGGGAACCTATCATCTCCCAAGGCAGCCCATTAGACTTTAGGACACCTCTACTCGTTAGAAAGCTTTGCTCTGTATCAAACCTAAACCTAAATCTCCCTCTCTGCAACTTTTCACATCAACTCAAAAAAAAAAAGGGGGGGGGAATAAATGGATGATTGATTCTGTTTCCTATTCCATCCATATTAAAGAGGAAAGAACTGGATTTCCTTGAATCTAAATGATGACTATCATAATGCATAAAGATTTCATGAGGATTCATGGCATGATAGCTGTCTTAAAGAGTTTGAAAGTCTGTTATGTGAAAGAGAGTTTAGCCTTACTCTGCTTGGCCTCAGAGGGAAGAACCAGGAAAAGCAGGGGAGGAAACACAGTTATGGGTTTGATGTTATGAACAAATTCCTAACAATGAGAACCTTTTCCAAGTGGAATGGGTTGCCTCAGAAGATGGCAGGCTCTCCATCACTAGGGGACTTTCTTTTAGTCCAAGACCGGAGGGATGAACATGTGCCAGTTGTGTTAGAGAAATATACTTGGTCAGGTAGATAGACAGCATCCAGGGTCCCTTCTAACTGAGATATTGATTCTGTGATTCAATCAGGTCAAATGCCAAGGAAAGGAAGAACTGTATCTTGCTCTATATGTGGTAGGAAATAAGCATTAAAAACTCCTCTGGGGCACACCAAGATTCAGGATTCAGATGTGAAAAGCAAGGGAGATTTTTCCCATTACATACTTTTTTGTTGATTCCAAAAAAAAAAAAAAAAAGGCCCTGTTCTCAAAAGGAATTTAAGTGTTTGGTAATTTTGTTATCTGTCACTGCTGAGAATAAAGGGAATTTTTTTTGTTTAGACAACTAAATTGAAAGTACAGTTAAAGGTCGGAACTCAATTAACACAAACCACGATCTGCCATCAACTAGAATTTGTAACCAAAGATGGATGTTGGGGAAAATAATTACATGGGAAAAGAGCCTAAAGATTGGACTCTTGAACACACTTGTCATCTTCTACAGAATGTCCTGAAGTCAGGTGAGATTCAGCGCAAGCTACAGTCATAATCTGACCTTTCTCAGTCCTCGATGGTTGACAACTACCCTTCAGAAACACCTATTTTCTTCTAAAAAGCACCTGTGTAATGTCTGTTTCAGAAGACTTGACTAACAAAGGGGGTAGATTAAAACATCACCTACAAGAAGTCTTTCCTGATTTCCCTTGATGCTGATGACTTCTGCTGCTTAACTCGCCTTTATACTATCTGTTTCTTACTTGTACATGGTTATTGACATGTTGACTCCTATGTTAAAACATTTGCTCCTTGAGGACAGGGGTGATGTCTTTTGCCTTTCTTCTTGTTTCATCTAGTGCAAGGTAGTAGGAGGCATTTAATAAAGGCTTTTTGAATGACTAATAAATTTTAGACACATTTTTCAACTTAAAAACCAAACAAAGCACTCTAGCACATCCCCCCCTCCCTTCAGCATTAAGATAATCCAAAGATGTAGTTAAAACTAAGGTCTTATCCTCTAAGCATTATGGGAAACTGAAGTGCTCTTCTTTCAAAAAATTATTAGTGACCTTTGACATTATTAATCAATGGTCCTTCATATCCCCCCACCTTCATATTCCCTTTTCTTTGATACTTTCTTCTCTCTAGGTTTTCAGGATACCATTCTCATCACCACACAGCCAGGATGTTACAATAGCTCCCTGGTGGGTCGACCTGTCTCAGGTGTCTCCCTATGCTAATCCATCCTGTATTCAGCCACCAAAGTGGTAAAGAGTAAAATATAAGGAAGAAGAACAGGTGATAAAGGGCTTTGTATTGGTATCTGAGGATTTGCCTTTGATCCTCGAGGCAGTAGAGTTTATTGAGTTGGGGGATGGAATGTTTGTACCTGTACATTAATAAAATCACTTTGGAGGGTGAATGGAGGATGGAATAGAATGCACAGACTCCTTCTGCATACAGTGCAGAAATATTGATTGATTGGTGGATCTAGTCCAGTCCTTAATTTTATAGATAAGAACATTGGGGGCCAAGTTTGGGAAGTGAAGTTGTCCAAGGTCATGCAGCTGGTAAGCATCTGGGGCAAGATATGGGTACAGATTGTCTGATAGAGAACATGAGACTTAATCCAGGATGGAGATGTGTCGACAGCAGGGTCAAACAGGCTGGTCCCTTAGCTGAGTTGGCCCTCCATGGGAGGAGGAAGGGAGGCTGTTTGGATGCCTGACTTTGTTCTCCATCTCTGTGAACAGACCTATTGTTGTCCTTGTTGTTCATTAAAGCCATTATGGATGCTGACCCTTTTCTCTGCAGCTTTTCCCAACAAAGTGCCGCTGTCGCTTTCCACTGTGCATGTGGCAGGGGGTGGGAAGGCCCTCTCTTAGTTACACAATAGCTTTAGGCCAAATCACTGCTTTGTTTGAGGTACTAAGACTCTGGAGCCTGGTTACTAATTAAACATTGGCTAAACATTTCTCTGTTGATTCCTAATAACTGAGTTTCTATTATGAATCATTTCAACTCAGTCTTGTGCTTCGCACGGGTGAATATTTAAAACATAACAGCAACACAGACCAACGCTGAATGGGATGGAGTAGACAAAGCTGCCCGGGATCTGCTCAGCTGCTCTTCGGTACCAGAGTGGGAAATGGTCGGCATTGAAAATATTCTCCTTATCTCCAGCTTTCAGGAAGTCTCTTGAGACAGAAAGAAAAAAGAAAAGATTTGTCATTTTCTCAGAGCATTTAGGAAGAAGCCCCTCCATTGACTGAGTTCCCACTCCCTGGGAGAGAAACACACATCTAATTCCAGGTCCCCTTCACTATGGAAAGGATTGAGAGGCTGTGTGAAACAGCGGATAGAACTGAGCTAGGACTGGAAAAAACCTGGGTTCAGGTCCATTCAACACATATTACTGTGTGTTACTGGACAAGTAACAATCCCTTAGTGTGCCTGGATGCTTCGCTTTGGACTGAGATGCTGAGTTCTAGTAGCAGTGTGGGTCTCCAAGTTTTTATTCAATTCCATGTCTTTTTCTAAACCAGAAAAATCACACTGTCACTTAGGTGCAGTGAAACAACTGGGAAAACTTAGCTTAGAGACGGCTTAAGGGTCAATCATAACTGTCTGGGAGTCCTTTCATCATATACTATTACATTGTGAGCTCTGTGAGGGAAGGGGTTGTTTTTGTCATTCTTCACATGCACATCCCTTGAGCACAGTGTCTGGCATATTGCAGGTACTTAAAAAACTCTTGGTTTTTGTTTGTTTTGCTTTGATTACTGTTTTTTCCCCAAAATATTTGGGAAGATTATTCTGTTTGGTGCTAGCAGTTATACATTGGAACAATTGAAAGAAGTTTAAAAGAGGAGAATGTAGGTTCAATTTTAGGGGGCAGAGGGATGAACTTCTGAACCATTAGAGCTGTCCAAAATGTGAATGTACTGCCCGGAAAGGAAGAAGTCTGAGCTGCACTGTACATCATTTAAACAAGCCTTGGTACCCCTTTTCATGTATTTTACATGTTGTCTGTTTTCCCTTACTAGAATTTGAGACCCCTGAATGCAAGTTCTGTGTTTTTGCCTTTCTTTGTATCCCCAGCACTTAGCACAGTGCCTTACACATAAAAGGTGCTCAATAAATGCTTAACCGACTGAATGAAGTCTAAGTTGGATTGGAAAGCTTTCCAGCTCGGTGGTCCTTAGGTCTTACAGTTCTATTTTACCATATAAATGAACACCAGATCGCAGTCTAGAGCACCCCAGCTGACCTCCATCCAATTCCAGCATTTCCATGTTTCATGTATTCCACCAAATACCTAATACTAATAGCTCACATTTGGGGCAGCTAGATGGTGCAATGGATAGAGTGCTGAGCCTGGAGTCATCTTCCCAAGTTCAAATCCAGCCTCGGGCACTTACTAGCTGTGTGACCCTGGGCAATTCCGTTAACCCTGTTTGCTTCAATTTCCTCATCTGTAAAATGAGCTGGAGAAGGAAATGACGAACAACTACAGTATCTCTGTCAAGAAAATCTCACAGAGAGTCAGTCATGACTGAAAACTGATTTAAAGACATGTATCTGGTATTTACAACATACCAGGCACTGTGCTAAACACCTGTAATTATTTTATTTTACCGTAATAACAACCCTGGGAGGTAGATGCTATTATTATTCCCAGTTGGCAGATAAGGACACTGAGAAAAACAGAAGTTAAGTGACTTGCCCAGGGTCTCACAGCTAGTAAGAGTTTGAGTAAGAATTTGAACTCAGGTCTTCCTGATGATAAGCCCCATGCTCTATTCATTGTACTATCTCACTGCCTATCACTTGTTCCTTCTGACTTTATTTCTCTAGATTTCAAAAGGAGGCAGCAATACTGACTTCTGGACCTCCAGTCTTTCAAAAGAACAATGTCAAAAAAAAAAAAACACTGTCTGCTTCCTTGAATGTGAAAAAAAATTCTGATTTATTAAATTAGTAACTATTGAACAATTTGAAATATGTGGCAGTCAGGATGAAAAAGTTCTGAAGGGCAATGGATAGAATTTTTTTTTTAAAGTTGGAAAGGACTTTCTCCCCAACATCGTCCCATCTTGTCCCATGTATCAAACTTGGTCTCCTCTAGTTAGTGACTGAGCCCAATAGGAACCCTCACTTAACAACTTTGGAACTTGTGGGATTCATTATGATTCCACTAGACTCTCAACTAGTGTACGTGCCTGTGACAGCTCCGTAGCCAGCTCATTGTTCATTCCAGGGTTTCCCCAGAGCTTTCTCCAAAGTGGGTCATTTAGAAGGAAAAGGACAATCTTACCCCCTCCTCCCCAGGATAAGCATCTTTAATCCTTCGAATAACTTTCAAACCAACTGAACATCCGCATTCCATTTATTCTTGGCAAAATAGCACCTCTCATTTCCAGAGAACAATTCTAGAACTCCAGAATTTCAGAGACGCAAAGAACTTTGGCAAACTCTGGTTTAATATTCATCCTCAGCGAAGACTGTGAGTTTCCGAGCAGGAATTGTCTTTTTCCTTTCTTTGTATCCTAGCTTCTTAGCACAGTGCCTGGCTCATAGTAGGTGTTTATTAAGTATTAATAGACTAACGTTAATATGCCTGGCAAGTGGGCTTCCAGCCTGTGCTTGAAGACCCCACCTAGGGGACTGTACTGCCATTGGAGGAGGACAGCTCTTATTGTCAGGATCCACTTCCTGACCTCCAGCCTAGATTTGCCTCATTGCAACTTCTACCTGTTCTTCCTGAGCTTTGTCCATTGGGGCCAAATGAAGCAAGTCTAATCTTTCTTCCAGACAGTACTCTGTGAACTTCAAACTTGACCTTCAAGGTCAAGGACACTGTTTTTTAGAAGGACTTGAAGTCCAGAAGTAAGCATTGCTGTCTCCTTTTGAAACCTAGAGAAATAAGGTCTGAAGAATGAAGTGCTGCAGTGGAATTCATGGAACACAGAGTTCTGGAGCTGGGGGATGTCAGCTGAGATGTTCTGAACTCTGGCCTGGTGTTTAGTCACATGGTAGAATAGAATAAAGGATCCTCAGAAGTGAAAGGAAGCTCAGTGACCATATCTCCTTCAAGCTTTCTCATCTCCAGTCAGTCACGTCAACAAGAATTTATGAAGCATCTACTAGGTGCTGAGCACCAGGCTAAGTGCTAGGGATACAAAGAGAGACAAAAGACAGTCCCTGCTCTCAAAGAGCTCACAGTCTAATGGGGAAGACTGCAGGCAAACAGCTAGGTACAGATGATCAAGATGGCCTTAACATTGACTTTCTGAGAGCTGATCATCCTAGGCATGGAGTAAGAGCCCTCCTCCATCCTGCTGCTCTTCTCTGGCCACTCTCCAGCCTACCACGATTCTTCCTAAAATGCAATGCCCACGACTGAATGTCATGTTGCAGATCTGGTCTGGCTAGCCTTGAGTACAGCCAGCCCACCACTCCTTAATTCTTGATGTTAGACCTCTCCTTATGTAGCCCAAGACCACAGGAGAGTTTTTGCCTGCTCAATCCTACAACTAAATTGATTAAGAGTGAGATGGGCATGTTCACAGTTTTAGGACCACTTCCTTGCACCATGACCATAGTGTGATAACCTCAGGAAGTGACTCACAGCAGATAGAGGGTCCCAGCTGGTCTGTAGAGAACCCCTAGGAGTTGAGGCTAGGCTGGGGGACTGGGCAGGTATTAGGACTGGGCAGGTCTCAGTCCGGCCCCTGGCACTACCACATGTGTAACAGAGCTTTGGCGGCTGTCCCTCACCCTGAGGTATACCCAATCTGCCCAATCCTATGAGGGAGGAGGATTGGTCCTGCAGCAAGTCAAAGTAGGCCAGATTGAGTTTTGATTTTCAAACATCAACAGGCTTTAGATTATGAGCCCTGGGAGGGCAAGACTTCCACAGCAGGGCTGCCGAGCAGCTGCTAGCCCTGCAGCTATTTGTTTTGAGATGGGCTCAGGAAAAAAAAGGAGAAGAAGAAGAAGAAGTGGAAGCTTCCTCTCTGTTCAGCCTCTAATTCAGCTATCCACTGAGTTCTGCAAGAGCTCCTCAAATTGGGAGACAGGACCCAAGACCCAGCGGGACCCCAGAGCCTTCTGAGGGCAGAGAGAGATGGCGGGGGTACTTGGGGCAGATAAAATCTCACACAGGGGCTCTGAGGAGAGATCAAGTGAAAAAAAATGGAAACCTTCTTTATGCAACATAATCCCTAAAGATCACTCCTGTCAGTTTATTGATTTTCTTATAGCAACCCTGGTTAACAGAAAATGATTTTACCTCTATCTTACAGATGAGGAAACTGAGCCTCTGAGACTTCCAGTGCCTTACCCTGGGTTGTATAACATCTATATAGCTTACAGAGTGTTCCATGGCTTAAGTGAGTTAATAAGTGTAAAGTGCTTTAGAGATGAATATTAGCTATTATTTAATGCCAATGATTACTAGACTTACTTATTCGGTCCTAGTCTCTCCTGACCTCTAGCCTTGCATCTCCAACTGCCTATTGGATACCTCAAAATGGATGTCCTTAAACTCAGTATGTCCAAAGCCAAACACATTATCTTTCTTCCCAAGTCCACAGCAAGGCCCTGTTGAATCTATTCCAGTGGTTCTCCATTACCTCCAGGAACAAATACAAAATCTTCTGTTTTGTGCTCAAAGCTCTTTACTATCTAGTCCCCTCTTACATTTCCAGTGTTCTTATACCTACTCCCCTTCACGGAGCCAATGAATGATCTGTGATAATGGCCCCCATATGCTTCCTACACAACCCTCCATCTCCAGAGTATTTTCATTGGCTCTACCTCATGCCTGGAATGTTCTCTCTCCTCACCTCTACCTGCTTGCTTTCCTTAAATTCCAGCTAAAATACAACCTTTTACAGAAAATCTTTTCCAATCTCTCTTTATTCTAGTGACTTTCCTCTGAGAATACCTCCAAGTAATCATATATAGATACAGACACATATAAGTGTGTGTGTGTGTGTGTATGTATAAGACAGAGAGAATCTTTGCACACAGTTGTTTGAATATTACCTCCCTCCATTAGATTGTAAGCTCCTCGAGGCCAGGGCTTTTCTAGGGCCTTTCTTTGTATCACTGTGCCCCTTAGTACACAGAGTAGGTACTTAATGAAAGCTCGTTGGCTTGACCAGGGCTCCTCCATTAGACCATACACTGTGTCTCCATAGCAAGATGCAAGTGTAAAAAGATGATGCCCCTTAAGTACACCATGCGAGCATCTCCTTTCTAGCCTAACTGCCCACTTGTTTCTTGCCATACACAACTGTTCCACCCCTTCCCTCAGTATGTTTGCATAGGCTGGTCCTCCTATCAGGAATGATTTTCCTCCATATCTGCCATCCCTACAACCTTAGGTTAAGTGTCCCCTCCCACAAAAGCCTGTCCTGTTCCCCCACTTTTAGTGACCCTAGTGTGACAATTTGTTTTGTCATTTCTTTTTTTTTTAATTGGTAAGTGTGTTAAGGTAGAATGTAACTGATAAGGTAGAATGTAAGCTCCTTGAGGACAGGAATTATTTCTGATTTTGTTTCTGCATCTACTGGGCCTAGTGAAATATGGATACAGTCATCACTTAATAGAATCATAGGAGTAAACTTCAAGTCATTTAGAGCTAGAAGGGCCCTCGCAGTACATTTATTCTAACCCTTTAATTTTATAGATAGGAAAACTGCGTCCAAGCATGATTAGGTGACCTGACCCAAGTATTGCAGGTAGTAAGTCAAAGAGGCAGAATTGAACCTGGCTCCTCTCATTGCAGAGCTACTGTTCATTCCTCTGCCTCCTAATAAATGCTTGTTGAATTGAATCAAAACCCACCCTCCCCAGCCCCCTGGAATGACCCTCTACTGCTCCCACCTGCCTCTTTGGCAGGACTTACTGATTCGTGAGCTGCTCAGCACCCACAAACAGGTTGATTCTGGAGAGACCAGTCCGGGTTCCGAGGAAGGCAACCTCAACGCCCTTGTCAGAGTTCCTGAAAAAGAGCAGCCCAGTCAGCCAGCTAACGTTTGCAGACAATAAACAGATAATGGCTCTTTTATTAGTCCAAGCTAGTTTTATGCAATAACATGCTTGAACCAGGGACTGGAAACGGAGTTACAAGAGACATGTTCATTTTTCATCGAGATAAACACGTAGCCAACTCTGAAGAGGCCCTTCCCCTCCAGGAGCGTTTCCAGGGTGATCGGCAGATAGGCATCAAGGGGGAGCTTCAGGCTAATGAGAGTGGCATGTGAAAATGCCCCCCCTCTGCAAAGGCAGAAGGAAATTAGGCAGCCTTGAAGCCAAAAGCATAACAATTTATTTGGGGGCTCTGGCCATGGAGGTGAAGCCTGCATCTTCTCCAAAGAATGACGAATGCATTCAGAGAAAGCAGTCATTGTCCGGGCCAGCGCCTGTGCTCTCACTGCCAGGACTTGGATGAGGTTATACAACTCCTCCTTTGTGGGGGAGGCCATTGGTGACATTGGGCAGAGGAGAAAACTCACATGTGAAGGGCTCCACTGGGAGAGGGAGGAGGCAAGCCAAAGCTGATGCCTGCTGTGAAGCGAAACCCCTTCTGTGCCTGGAGGAGGGCACTCTCTTAAAGGATGCAAAGAAAAAAAGGGCCCCAACTGGCAGTTTCTCACTGAGATCTCACCACTGTTCTCCTCAGCCCTTACACAGTGGAACAATATAAGCATCACAGACCTAAGAGTTGCGAAGGACCTCGGAGGCCAGTGAGTCTGGGCCTGTTTGTTTTACAGATGAGGAAACTGAGTCTCAAAGAGGTAAAGTGATTTTCTCTGGGTCACATAGCTAATAAATGACCCTGGCAGTATTTGAACTCAGGTCTTCCTGACTCCAAGTCCAGTACTCAATACTCTATGTCACCAGTGCCAGATCTCATAGGCCTCAAAAAAAGCAGCAAAAAAGTGGCTATGCAAAGTATAACCTTCTCTGCCCTTTCCTCAGCTTGTCTTTCTCTACTCACGTGCCATGAACCAACCTATCTATACCCACAGAAGTACACACCTACTTGTGCATATGCCACCTGTCTCCACAAGGAACAATCCTGAGACAATTCACAAATGGAGGTGTTCATGAACGCACCAGTCACCAAGGCAAAATCTTTGCTTTTATCAACAAAGATGCTCAGCCTTGTTTAAAATGGAAGATGTCATCATTATGGGGATCTCCGGCATATGCTTAAGCAGACAAGCAGGCTCACATGGTTCACACAGATTTTTTTGTGAAATGAAAGCACCGAAGAAAGACATCCTTTGGGGACAGGGATGCTTTATTTCATAGCCTCTTGCCTTCCCTGAGGAGGATAGTCAGTAGAAGCTTCGTAAGAACTTCAAAGGTCCAGAAGTAGAATAGACTATCTCCAGAGGCGGCATCTTCTCTCACCTTGGAGAATTCTCTTTAGCCATTGGCTGGATGGCCGTTTGTTAGAGGGAGGAATCCTTTACAGTATACTGCTGAGATCCCTTCCCATAAGCCATGACTCATGATTCTTTGCAATTCATTCTGTGTGTATACATAATCCAGAGGTGCTCAAGAAAATACGAATAATTCTCCCTCTCCTTTCATTGTTCTTACATAATAGTTTAAACACCATCCCTCAGGAAAGAAAAAGCAAAAAAAAGTACAACTGCTTTAAAAGGAGATTAAAAGGGGGGGGAGAAACAGAGAAAAGGGGAGAGGAAAGGAAGAAAAATGAGAGAAGGAAAGGAGACAGAGGAAGAAAGTAATAGAAGGTGAAAACTTGAGAAAAGCCCCTAACTTCATAAGCATACTGGCACAACCTACTGAATTTTTTAATTGAAACCGTATTCTGAACCTAATCTCTTCCTACCCCATCAAATACAGTCCCCCTTGTCCTAGGCACTGAATTTTCTCACTTCTTTGCGAGCACATGACTGTCTAAGCAGAACCAAGAAAGTCCCTTCTTCTCTCCTGTTGGAACCATGCACAAATCTCAGCATCCCAAGCTTCATGGAATGTAGCTGTCCCTCCACTTCTGGGGCTAGGGCTGAATGTACAAGTCTGGGGTCACTGATTTGCTATAGCCTCTTGGGGTTTAGAAATTTTGGGAAAAATTAGAAAAATGGAACATCAGACTTTTGTAGCTAGTCAGCTCCTTGAAATGCAATGGTATTTCCAACTCTTGTAAGAGAATTTCAACAAAAGCAGGTGCATGTGACCACTTACTCTGATTTGTTGAGTGCTAGGCTGGTCCAATAAGCTTCGATGGGGGCACTCACTACGGCATCAAAAAGGACTTCTTGTATTAATTCTTTGTCACCTATTGGGACATGAAACAAGGAATGTGTCTCAGAGACATGCATCTAACAAGCACAAAGGTCACAAAACGTAGTATCATCTGGGCCCCACTTTTTATGTGTTGAAGGAGATCTTATCCAATCCCCACCTTGGTCAGGTAAAGGGTTCACAAACTTCACAGGCAGTCAAATAAAGCTGAGACATAGAAGATATTTGATTCTGCCTTTGCTTCAAGGCATCAGCAAGGAAAATGTTACTGTGATCAGAAAAGGAGCATACTAGCTGCTTCCACTAGCTCCAAAGGGAGCATGCACTTCTCTCCCATTCCAGGGGAGTCTGTATGAACAGTAAAGAAAATCAAATAGAGCCGAGACCCCTTGGGCTCTGGCTAAGTTTATTATATTGTGTTTGTAATGGGTCTGGAAGAAAGCAAAGAGAAGCAAATGAGATTGTTAGTGGCATCTGGGTATGTAACTGGGGTTTTCTCTGTCCCTAAGCAAAGAAACACTTCAGGCTGCGCCGTGAGGTGCTTGAGGTCTTAGGCTCACAGGACACCAGAGGACTGAACATTTAAGAGTACAGGGGAGGGGTTGGCCTGTGTCTGAAAATGGTGTCTGCAACCTTGCCTCCTCTCATGGGCGTGACCATACAGGGTCTAAGTCATGATGTGTGAACCTAGAGACAGGTTAGGAGGTCTGGGGAATATGGATTCATGGGAGTGGAAGAGTCAAAGAATGGGAAGAAATCACAACGTAGAGTCTTAGGTAGTGGAAACCCTGACTTTGCTGCCAAGTGGCTGAGACCAGTCATTTTCCTCCCTAGGCCTCTGTTCCTCAATGAAAAATGAAAAGGTTGAAATAAATGAGACTTTTAATACCCACCAGCCCCCACCTTATTCTAAATCTGTCCTCAGTCCTCCCACTTTCTATCTCTGTAGCTTCTCTCCCAGTCTCTTTCCAATCACTTTGGTGTCTCTCACAAAGGCCAGACCTTACACCTCCTCCACAAATACTCCATTCAGGCTTGTCTCGCACATGTAGCATCTTCTCCTCCCAAATCGCCCTGCTCTCCTCTACTTGCTCACTCAGTATTCAGGAAAAAAGTCACAAGGAAACCCATTCCCACCAATGATTGATAAGCTGTATTTCTACATCTTTACCCCAAGTAGATTATGTTTTAGGAAGAAGCTAGTTAAACCAGAGTAATTAACAATGGGGGTCTTTTGAGCAGCTGGCAAGCAGGTATCTAGAGGCAAATTTGGGGACCATACTCGCACACGTCCACGCATGTATATATGTGTGGTCTACATGGATGCATGCCACACACATATCCAGGGAGACCTGAGCTTATAGCCTGCCCCTGACATATAGTGGCTACCTAACCCTGAACAGGTCATGTCCTGTCCAAGTCTCTCTAAGACAGGCTGTACAGAAGGTAAAAGAGTTCTCTCCTCTGGGAGTTCCCACGGCAGTGAAGTCACAAATCTAGGCTCTACACATAGGGGCTTACATGTTATTTGAGGTAAGGAAAATTTAGGGAGAGAAAATAAAGGGAAGAAGTGAAACGTCTCATTTTTCAGAGGGACATCACAATGTGATGTGTCCCGTGAGAAAGTGTATGCAATTAAAAGGCAGGCCATTGACATCTTAGTCCTGGCTCTGTCACCAATGACTTCTGTGGCCTTGAGCAAGGCATCCCGTTCTGGGCCGCAGGCTCTTTATGTGTCAAAGGGAATAGCAAGACTAGATACTCCAAAGATCTCACGTTCTTTACCAACATCTGAGACAGAAAGATTGGAGGGGCCCCATCCCAAATACTTGGGTTTTTGGAGGTGAGATCACCCTACCAAGACTTTTCATAGAGTTGTTCAGAAAGGAGAGGGCCAGATGGGCCCCCTCCCTCTTTGGTTTTCTCATAGAACTTTGCACACTATGCTCCTTCCTAATTCACTCATCACATCCTCTCTACTTGTCCAATATTGATTTTTGCCCTGTCTTATCTTTCTTACTCAATCGTAAGCTTCTTGAATGACCTTACAATCACAGAAGAATAGGTTTAAAGCTGGAAAGAAATTTGGGTCTCATTCAGTCCCAGTATTTTGCAGGTGAGGAAACTGAGGCCCACAGAGAGGGAGTGATTTGCCCAGGGTGATAGAGATAGTAAGGAGCAAAGCTGGTCTTTAAATCAAATGTCCTGATTCCAAGTTCAGCAGTGTTCCCCTCCCTCTATTGTGCTATGGTAATGCCTGGGACTGGATCTCGCAGTTGTCATAAAAGAATACTTGAAGAATCTTTGAGTTGGTCATCCCAAGAAACTCTAAACTTCACCAGGCTGGTTCTCAGGTGTTACATATATGCTCTGTCCCTGGATGGTCCTCAAACTCTTTCCAGAAGAGTTTCCTGCTTCAACTTGTGTGCTATTGACTAAGCCTTTGAGATGCCAGGGCCCCCATCATCCCATGATGCTTCTGACTAGTGGAATACCTGCACAGTTATTAACCAATGTCTATAGAATTGAGTTGGAAAAAAAAAACATGTTGGAATCAAAGGGTTAAGTGAAATTCATTAATTATCTGTGGATTTCAAAGATCCACATTGTCTTTTCCTTCCATTCCCATTCCTGGAAAAAAATTGAGTTTGGCTGTATTTCACATGACTGCCTGTTTCTGCCAGAGCAAAACTTGCCGGGAAACATTGACTTGAAATATGGTCTTCAGTTCGCTCGACGTCATTGAACTTTAGAATCAACCCCCCTTCCCCATGGGTAGGAAGAGGGATCCTTCCCTTCTCTGTCCCCCCACCCCCGTGCCAAGCACACACCAATAAGTTGGAAAACAGACTCACACTGAAGTAGCGGCTCCTTTCCTTTGAGGTAGAGCTTAATAGCGTCTAATTGAGACAGCTGTCGGTGTTCAGGCTGTAGGTCTGTGTTGCAATAAGACCTGAGGACACGACATAGCCAAAAACATAAGCATGTAAATATTTACCAGCCTCCTCTCTCTGTACCTTTGAACTCAGAGAACTGGGCACCAGGAGCACAAACAGCATGAAACCAAAACAGGGAACAAATACCCCATGGAGGCATTGTTTAAATCTTACCATTCGTCTGCCAAGGATACGTCAGGGTGTTCTAAGTCGTGTAGGCCTGGAAAGGGAGGAGAATGGGTTAATTAGTGCTAACTGACAGTGAGGAGAGTGGGATCATTAGGAATATTGGAAGGATGATTTAGGCCCTCTCTTCTAAGTATTCTTTGTGGTAGGGGAAAGGGTGGGTATGCTCAGTGGCCTAGTATATGGAATGCAGACATCCCTTTGGCTCCTGCCAATCGGTCAATAAACATTTATTAAGCACCCACTTGTGCCAGACACTGTGCTAAATGCCACACTTTCCATGAGATGAAAGAATTCTCTTCCCCATTGTTATTTTCCCTTTCTAGTCTTCCTGAACTTTTTTGCCACCAAGCAAAGGCTTAGTTAATGTGGTACAAGTGGGACATGGTCCCCGGTACAAAATGGGAGAGGGGATTTCTTGTTCCTCTGAGCAAGCCTACTTCCTCTCCAGGAGGAAAGGAGCCCACTCTCCATGGCCTCCCTACTTGCTTTGTCTCTAGGTCATCAGAAGGCAGGGCGTGGGTTGTCTGCAGATGGGATCTTCTCTTCCTCTTCTCTGGCCTACTGCTTTACTCACCTCAACTCAAATTCCTACAGTTCTAGCTTCAGCTACTTAGAATTATTCCTGAGAATCTGAGCTCAGAGATGAGGAAGGCTGCATCCTGGTGGCTGGGGAAAAGCCTGACATTGGACCTTGAGCAGAGGCGATATGGCATAGGAGATGGAAGGACAAGGGTTCAAACAATATGCTAGTACCATGACACTGAGCAGGTCACTTAACTTGCTGGTGCCCTGGAAAAGTAGTATGACATTGACCGAGGAAAGCCTTATTTATGGCAGTGGAAGCAGGTTCCGTACAAGGAGTACATTGCATTGATAAACTCATGGGTCTATATGCCCACCCTCCTTTCCATCCTACCCCACCTCTGCCCAAAAAGGGGCTGGGGTTGGGATTGTTATTACTACCTAGGGTACAAAGTGGAGAGATAGCTGGATTAAAAAAAAAAACTTTCTGAGATTTGAGGATGTTGGTGAGGGCTCAGAGAACATCACCAATTGTTAGGATTGCTCTTATTCACAAACAATAATGGTCACATTTTATGAAGCACTTTAAGATTTTCAAAGTTGCTTACACACCAGATCAAACTTGGGCCCCACAACAACCTTGTGAGGTAGGTACTATTTCCATCCTCATTGACCAAACTGAAGCTGGCAGATGTTAAATGACTTGCCCGGGGTCACAAAGCTTGTGAGTGTGTGAGACAGGATTAGAATTCAGGCCTTCCACTCTAGCATGCTGCCAGGATGGCTTGTCTAGGTCTCATGGCGCTCAGACACTGACGATCATGATATGAAGGGAGTTAGGTGACTCTGAGGCAGGGTTGTGGCTGAGAGTCAGATGGCCTTCTGTCCTATCACACAGTCTTTACTTGGCAGAGCAGCACTTAGCTAGTGAGCCATCCAAGATCCATCACCCTGTTTCTGCTTTGTTATTGACGCTACCTGCTGTCTTTCCCTTTTTAATTATTTTGGGGGCATGGTCACTGACTCCTAGGCTAACAGAGCCAGCAGGGTCTTCAGGGACCATCTAATCCAACTTGTACCTGAAAAAGTAATGTCCAACATGCCCAAGAGTCATACCCCAGACATGGCTTGAAGATTTCCAGAAAGAGGGAGGCTGCTAGTTCCTGAGGGAGTCAATTCTTTTCTTGAATATCCTCAATTGTTAGGAAGTTTTTGCTGACATCTAGCCTAACATGATCTCTTTGAAATGCCCATTCATTGCTACTAGTTTTGTTCTCTGGAACCAAAAAGAACAGCCCTTCAAATACTTGAATCCAAGTCAGCTCATCTGCCTGTGGCTTTCCCCAGAATTCTGCATCTAGAACACATCCACATTCTCCCAGGGACCTGGAGGGATCATCCAGCCCAGCCTCATCTCTTCAGGCAGGTGCATGTCTATTCAGATGATGGATCTGAATGGAATGGAACATTGTCATCTGGAGTGACCAAATAGCCAGGACTCTATCACCTGCCTTGATGGACCATTCCAGTATCTGATTTCTGTCCTTTCTATTGATAGAACAATCCTTCCCTATTTTGAATGTATTAACTTAACCCCATCTTTTCACACTAATTTCTGTAGTTTGAGAATAATCACTCAACATTTTCTTCAAGCCCTTTATGTAACAGGTTCAGATCATAACCCTGTGTTACCAATGAGTCAGCTCTTTTCAAAGCTAAACAGTACTCACATACTAAACCTTTCCCTGTGGAACTTCTGGTCTAGCTCTTTAATCACTACTTTCCTGAGCTCAGTCAAGTTTTCCATTGCAACTCTGTGGACATGTGCTGACCATAAGTAGACAGAGTGCTCAAGGGTAATTTCCTAAGGCAGAGGACCACAGAATGAGTACTTCTTGGCTTTTGTAAATCCTTTGCCTTTTAATACACACTAGTTGTCACAACAGTGGCTTTGATGTAGCTCTCCATCACAACTTCCCACTTACATTCCTTACCCCCAATTCCTACCTTGCCTTGTGTGACATGTACTGCTCCTCTAATTAAGCCAACATTTGCCCTGCTTGGAAGCATGGCATGGGAACCTTTTCTCCCTGCATGCTTGTACCAACTTGAACAAGGTCAGGATTTGAGGGGTCTCCTTGCTCTTTATGTTTTTCTTTTTCTGCTTGCTCTTTATTCTGTCTACATCCCGAAAAGTGGTGCTCTAAGTATGTCTTCCTAAGAGACTGGCTATAGCCTGGAAGCTCCATATTGATGATCTGTTTTGGTGTCCCAGTATTTGGTATGATGCCTGGAACGTATCTCAGAAACTTAAATAGATTTATGACCATAGCAATTAGAGTTTCCTGTCAATGGTTAAGTTGTAGCCCACTCCTGCGTGTCTATCCTACATGGTTATTATCCACATCCTATCATGAGGCCTTCCTCATTTTCTGCTGATATTGTGAGGGCACCAGGGGACCATTACGGCTATTTTTCTCCCCTCCCTCACCTTTACCACCTCACCAACCCATCTTCCCTTCTTAGCACACAGTTTCTTGAATATTTTCCTTATTTGAAATTCATTGGTTAAAATGAATATATGCACAAAAATGAATAAATAAATATATGCATATATACACATATGGATTTATATTATGTTTTATTGATATCTTATTTTTACAATATTAATATATCCTGATGACTCTGACCTTGTGAGTTCTGTTATAATAAAATCAAACAATTAAGCAAAGTTAAAAATCAAATGATCTCAAGTGAAAGTACATACAACAATTTCATAACCATCATTCCTCCCAAATTCTCTATTTTAGGAAGTGTTTCTTTAAATAAGAGAAATCTATTTTTCTCCATCCCACCCCTACACAAGAAGAGGAGGAGGAGGAGGAGGAGGAGGAGGAGGAGGAGGAGGAGGAGGAGGAGAAGAAGAAGAAGAAGAAGAAGAAGAAGAAGAAGAAGAAGAAGAAGAAGAAGAAGAGGAGGAGGAGGAGGAGGAGGAGGAGAGGAGGAGGAAGAGGAAGGAGAAGAGGAAGAGGAAGGAGAATAAGGAGAAAGAGAAGGAGAAGAAGGAGAAGGAGAAGAAGAAGACGACAAATATTTGTAACATATGTGCATATTTAAGCAAAACAAATTCCCTCATTGGCCATGTTCAAAATGCATGTCTCCTTCTATCCCCTAAATCTATCACCTGTCAGGAAGCAGAGAGTTTGTTTCATGCTTTGAGCTCTGCTATCATGGATGGTCTTTGCATTGATCAAAGTTCTTAGAGGCTTCACAGATTTTTGTCTTTAATGTATAAATTGTTCTCCTGGTTTTGCTCATTTTGGTCTTCAACTCTTTATAAAAGTCTTAGAAATTGTTTGTTTCTATAACGTTGAAGTTATATTAAGAATTGTTCTCCTGGTTCTGCTCTCTTCCTTCAGGATCAGTTTATAGAAGTCTTTCTCAGTCTTTTTTAAATCACTCATTATTTCACAGCACAATAAGATTATATTGCATTTATAGATCACAATTTAACCATCCATTTCTCAATTGATGGGCATCTCCTTAGTTGGTAGGGTTTCTTTCCAGAACAAAAAGATCTGCTATAAATAATTTCGTGCATACAGAACTCTTTCTTATTTTTTTTTAAATCTCTTTGGGGTATAGGCCTATCATTTGTATAGCTGGGTCAAAGGACATGCACTATTTAGTAACATTTTGTGTGTGTGTGTGTAAACTTCCAAACTGCTTTGTAGAATGGCTTAATCCATCCACTTGTCCAACAACAATGCATCAATGTGTCTGTTCCCTGGGCCATCTTCATCATTTGTCATTTTTTTTGGTCATCTTAGCCACTGGTTAGATGGTACAGTCTGATCATGCCCACCACACACTTCTCCATTGCCCTTTGGATGATGTTTGTTTTAATTCTTCAGAGACTGTTCTAGTCTGTCACTGCCATGCTGCAAGTCCAATAGGAAGCTGACATTTAAAAAGATGAGTCTTTACTTTTACAGGGAGCTTGGGGGTATGTAAAAGATTTTGACAGTTTCATCAAGGCAACCCAGCTCCATCTCTTCCAATTCAGCTCTGTGCCCCACTGATTCATTGTCCATTGATTCTGTCTGACTGAGAGGCATATACTGCTCAATAGGATTAGCCTAGTATATACAGTAGGAGGCAGCTGCATTTTGAATGTTTGTTGAATTGAATTGAATATTGTTTTGTTTTGTGTTCATGTTGAACAGGGTTTGTAGAGAACACAAAGAAATCCAGATGGGACATCTGGACAGAAGAAAGAATGTACAACATTATTCTGAGTCCAGAAGAAGGCATTTAGTCCAGTTGATGTCACTGTGACCTGATGATGTCACTCAGTGCCTCCTGAAAAACACTTGATTTTTTAATTGGTATTCTGCTGTTTAGTTTGAAAAACTTGCTGAAGTCTTGGGCAATAGCGTCCAAGAAACTTGATTTTGTGGCTGGGTCCCAGTGGCTGGATATGGGATTACCAACTTCATGGTAAAGCTTGAAGTAATAGTTGAAGCAATCAGGAAGACCGGGGCTCAAGTCCTGATATACACTGACTGACACTGGATATGTCTCTTACTTCTCTGTGCCTGGGGCAACTCCCTAGCATTTACCTACTACATCATGGACAGTGTGAGACTGATGATGATTCTCAAATCTACTTATCTAGCCCTAATCTCTTTGCTGACCTCCAATCTCACATCTCCAACTGCCTTCCAGACATCTTGAGCTGGATGTTCTACGGAATATTAAACTCAGTGTGTCCAAAACTGAACTCATTAGCTTTCTCCTGAAACCCTCTCCCCTTCCAAACTTCCCTATTTCTCTTGAGGGCACCACCATCTTCCCAGTCCCCCAAGTTCACAACCTGGTGTCATTCTCTACTTCTCACTATCTCTAATCCCTCATATCTAATATCATTCCAAAGTCTGCTGATTTCACTTTTGTAACATTTCTCAAATGTGCCCCTTCTCCCCTCTGACACAGCCACTCCTCTGAGACATGCTTTCATCACCTCACATCTGCACTCTTGCAGAGCTGCTGCATCACACCTCTCCCCACTCCAGTCGATCTTGCTAAAGAGCAAGTCCAACTAGGTCAGCTGTCTACTCAGTACAAGCCAATGACTCCCTATCACCTCAAGGATCAAATATGAAATCCTGACATTGTCCTTTTGGATATTCCTCAAACAGTATGACCAAGACACCCCCTCTCTCGGCTCTGGGCATTTTCTCTGGCCGCCCTCATGCTCAGAATACTCTCCCTCCCCCTTTACTCCCTGGTGTCTCTGGAGTCTTTAAAATCCTAGCCAAAATCCTACCTTCTACAAGAAGTCTTTCCCAATGCCTCTTAATTCTAGTGCCTTCCCTCTCTTAATTATTTCCTAATCATCCTGTATATAGCTTTTTTGTACATATCATTGCTTGTGGTCATTAGATTGTAAGCTTCCTGAGGGTAGGGATTGCCTCTTGGTGATCCCTGCCAAAGCCCTTTGCCTGGAACATGCATGCTGCCCAGGAAGGAGCTTCTGTCATCAATTAGTAATAGTCAACAGCTGTAGTCTGCCTGCTTGAACACCTTTTGGATGGATCTCTTTAGCCACAGAGAAAGTGAAGAAATATTTCTACCTGTCTGCACTCACATCTTTTCATGAAAAGAAACAAATCCACAGAATGCCAGAATTGGAAGGGGCCTCAGAGGCCTCAGCTCTGACCGGAGCGAAAATTAACTTGCCATTCCCAGCAAGTGGCCTTCTAGCCTTATCCAAAATAGATTCAATTAAAGAGAACTTACTAGCCAATGGACAGCCCATTAGACTTTCTGGTCAGGTCTAATTTTCAAGAAGTATTCCCTGATATCAAACCTTAATCTGCATCCCTGTTATTCAAGCCTTTGCTCTTGATTATGCTTTCTGGGGCCAAGAAAAAAAGGTTTACTGTGTCTTCCACATGACAGTCTTCCAGATACATGAAGACCATTATCAAATGTTAATAGCACGGGGTTTAGAGGCAGAGGATCTGTGTTCACATCTAAGCTCTGCTCCTAATTGGGTGACCTTTGACAGTCATTTGAAATCCCTGGGACTCAATTTATCCACCTGTTAAAATGAGGGAGTGAGACTACCTAGTTTCTGAGTTCCCTTTCAGTTCTAAATATATGCTCATACTATCCTTCTAGAATCTTCTATCTCCAGAGTAAATAGCCTAGTTCTTTCAATTAATACTTGTTTTAATTAATGAATGAATACGCATTTGGTTTCGGTTCCTTAATCAACATGGTAATAAAATTAAGGACACAGAATCAGAGTTGGAAAGAGTATTGTAGATCATGTAGATCTATTATTAGAACTCCATGGGCTTCTATGCTCCAATGTTTTTGATAAATGGGCATCTAGCCATTGTTTGTATACCTCTAAATATTGGGGAATCACTACTTCCCAAGGCAATTCACTGCATATTTGGACAGCTCTTCATGTCAGAGAATTCTTCTTTATAACAAATCAAGATATGCCTCTCTGCAACTTCTGTCCATTATTAATTATTCCACCTTCTGAGAAAAAGCAAGGCAGCTCTAATCTGTCTTGCACATGACAGACTTCTAAATACTTGAAAACAACTATTACCCATTCCCAAATCCACTTCCCACCCAGACTTTTATTCTTCTGCTTAAGTATCTCCAGATCCTTCCACTGATCCTCCTATGACATCACCACCAATCCCTTCCCTATCCTCATTGCACTTCTCTGGATATGCTCCAGTTTGACAATGCCCTTCTTAAAATGTCGTTCCTAGAAGAGAATGTTCCACCACGGCAGGGTACAGAGGGACTACCATTCTAGTCACAAGACCTATCAGTGAAGCCTGAGTACATGTTCCAATTTGGGATCAACATAGAAAGCTCTTGGCTCACGTTGGGCATTGAATACACTAAAACTCTCAGATCTTTTCCTTAAAAGCTGTTGTCTAGAAAGCCTCTTCCATTCCTTTTCATTGATTTTTTGAACCCCTGGAGGACTTTGCATTGATATTTATTAAAATCCATCTTGTTAGATTTAGCTCAATGTTAGAATCTGTCAAAACCTTTTTATATTCCATTTCTTTTGTCTAGGTTGGTGATGGTTCCCTGCTTCATGTCATCTGCCAAACTTAAAAAAGCATATTTCCAGCTAATCAACATCTTTCCTAAAATGTGGTTGCCAGGATTGAACTTGGAGATCTAGATGTAATCTAACCAGGACAGACTATAACAGAACAATCACCTCACTCGTTCTGAACATTGTACATTGTTATGACGACCTAGGATGGCATTAGTGCTTTTGAATGCCACACTAATGAAAATGATTCACAGTGCAGAAATACAATCTGGTACTGAAATAGACACATATTCTAGCAATTAGTGGAAACCATTGAAACTGGTCTGGCATGATTTGCTCATTGCAAAGTAACATTGTTTATTTGTTTCTTTTTTTCTTTTTTCTAGTATTGTATTTATGTGAAAAGTTTTGAAAAACTTAAAGTGCTTCAAAATGGGAACTGCTGATGTCACTATCATTATTATCTCTTGGTGGTCAAACATTCATTAATGACTTCTTGGAATATAGTGGATAGAAGGGCTTGGTCCAGATATTGCCTCAAACCCTTTGTGTAATATCCTGGGCAAGTCTTTTAACCTCTGTTGGCCTCATTTTCTCATCTATCAGGGGCATGATGAGTATCTCTACCTGAAAGGACTGTTGTAAGGTTCAAATAAGATAATATATATAAAGTATTTCACAATCTTTAAAGCAACTATACAATTGGGGAAGTTAAGATCTTAATCCATACCTGTGGTTTCATGAAAATAGGGATCTCTCAAGTGAGGACACTCCCTTCCCTAATGCATATTGGCACTTTTCCTGCAAGTTCTTGCCTTAGTGAGTTGCCTGGGGCATATAACTGAGTTGGCCAGAGTCTGAGCCAGGACTGGAATCCAGGTTGACCTGACTCAGAAATCAGCTCTGTGTCCTCAAAAATGGGATGTCTCTTACCCTCCTCCTCCTCATTCTCATAATTCAAATGATCTGTCCACTTAGGATGGAGTGCTGGACCTGGAGTCAGGAAGACATGAATTCAAATCCTGCCTCAGAAATTGTGTAACCTCAGGCAAATCATTTAACTTTTGTCTACTTCAGTTTCCTTATCTAAAAATGAGGACAGTAATAGAGAACCAGGATTGTTATGAGGATAAAAAGAGATAATAGTTGTAAAGTGCTTTGTAAATCTTAAAGCACTGTACAAATACTACCTATTACTGTTATCATCATCATCATCATTATTATTTTCTATCCACAAAAGCATTGCTAATGCTTCTTCCTTTCCTCTCTGTACATCTTCTGGAGAGTCATAACATTTGATCTAGGTCAAGGACTTACCTGGTTCTCTTGCCAGGATCTATGGCCTTCAGACTAACTGGATGTTTTAGTGATATCTCATAGTGCCTTCATGTGTAGACACTTCCACTTACAGAGAGAAAATCATCAAGGAATACCAGAGAGGTGACATAATTTGCCCAAGATCATGAAGAAAGCTTGTGGCAGGGCCATTAAAATTCATTGCCTTTCTATAGGGCATATCAAAGGATCTCCAAGCACTACCAATACTGAGATTTGCATCTTTAGTTAATGAGGGGAACAAAGAGTCTAAGTGACTCCTGGCAGCCATGGAAGGCACAACCAGGAAAAGCCCTTTGTTCTGGAGGCTCATAATCAAGCTTCAAGTTCCCCTTCTTATGGCCACCTCTGCTGCCTTGAGCCTCCCATGTGAAATGAGGCAGTTGGAACTGTTGGTTTCTAAATGTCCAGTGAAGTGATGGACCTAGCCCTGAACATCAGTGATGAAGTGGGGAAAGGAGCAAAGTCCAACTAGCCCTCTTGTCCCTTACCCCCCCACCCCAGTCTCATTATGATACCATAGAAGTCGGAAGACAAAAGTGGAAGGACCTTACCTTCTTCTATGGTTACATTCCCTCTGAAGAAATATTTCCCGTGTCCTCTAGAGAGAGCCACACCTAAACTGTGCAGAGAAATAGAGCAGACCTTGAGATCAGGCCCTGGTTGCAAGAGGCTTGAATGTTAACATTTTTCTTTTCCATTTTCACACTCTCATTTAATGTACTCTAAACAATTTACAGAAGAGTTTACTCAGAAAAACAAAAAAAAAAACACATTCCTGATTAGGACTTGGGATTCTTGGGTTCAATCACTGTTTCTTGAAAAATGATTCTGAGGTGAAGTGCCAGCAACAATTGCCTGATGTGCGTGTGTGTGTGCGTGTGTGTGTGTGTGTGTGTGTGTGTGTGTGTGTGTGTGTGCGCATGCGTGTTTCTAAGAGGTGTGGTCAACAGCTCAAACTTCCAGAAAAGGAGAAGACACATGCAGCCTTCACTGGTCTTCAACCCCTGTACGTTGTACAAAGGTGCTTCTGATCTTTGCTTCAAGCTCATGCGCCTGATATTCTAGTAAGCAACAAGTCTGATTGTACCTATAGGCACTAGTCTGGGGCAGGGGTGGGGGGGGAGAGAGGGATGCCTTCTCAAGAACCAAAGCCCAGACTTCCAGTGCTATCTGGGATTGATCAAGAGCCTTATAAACCATGTCATTCCTTTGTGACAATGCATATATCTATATCTATATCTATATCTATATCTATATCTATATCTATATCTATATCTATATCTATATCTATATCTATATCTATCTGTAGATAGATATAGATATATATTGATATATATTGATATAGATATTATATATCTATATTAATCTCTCCCCTACTGTCATTTAATTTAATAGAAATTGTCTTTTGGATTATCAAAATTAAGACCATTTTTAAAATAGCTTTCTCACTTGGAGGATCCCCTTACTAGTTCATAAGGTCCAGAAGTCAGATATTGTCTAAGATCTGAGTTCCAAATAGAACATATTAGTGATCCTTCAAAATACCCCTTATTGTAAAGAGAATGAGTTGTACTTCTCAGAGGAGGCTATCATTAATCAACATTTTCTGTTTCTTAAACACCAGCACACTAAAGATCAGAATCATAAAAGAGCTTAACTGTTCACATTTTAAGAAAAGGATACAGATCATTAGTTTATCAGAAGATGAAAATATGGGGAAGAGAGTATTTCAATTGCCAAAAAAAAAACTGTTAAAAGCATGATATTGTGCAATATAACTATGCCATTTTCACTATTATTGCTAATGGAAGCATAATGATTTTGAGTTAGTTGAGGAAAGAAAGAACAGTTCCAAAAATGAAAATAAAATAATTGTAGGGCACTAGGGAGAGATTATGCTCATAGCCACTGTGCTTAGGTTAAAGAGATAAAAAAAGAAAAGGTAACTCATTAGGTATGGAGAAGTTAGATGGTGAAGACCCCCAGGGACCCTTTGGACACTTACAATGCCTCTCCTCCCTTGTGTCCCCAGCCCCGGTATTCAATGGAATTCACCAAAACCATGTGCTCAGGAATGGGATGGAAAGCCATGGCCAAAAGAGTCAGTTGCCCTGGGATTTTGTGGACCATCTTTCCAATTCTGGACAAACCCCAGGAGCATCATGGGAAAGCCCCCTCTTTGGCTCTGTTCAGCCTTCTGACAGGCTACTTTATCATCTCTGGGTGATGAATTCAGTGGATGGCAGCAGCTTTTGTACAAACACAACTGATGGGGCTGATGAAATGGCCAGGTATCATGGTAGGCTCTACCTGAAAGGCGTGCCCCTGATGTCAGTGTAATAGTAGTCATTTGTCATCACCAAAACCCGTTTCTAGATCAAAGGAGAAAAAAAAAGTCATAGAGAAAAAAAAATAGTGTTAGCCTGCCACGTGTGTTTTCCAGAAAATAAAAACATTAAATAAATCAACACAATATGTATAAGGTTAATGGTACTCTAGGAATCTTTTTGGAGATAAATACAGACAAGAGAAAAATGTCCCCAGTAAGAGAGATTTATTCCAGATAGCAACTTCAAAGTTCATTTTGCTCAGTGGTTGGCTTTAAATGAGGCTGGAAGAATGTTTTAGAAAGTGTACCCCTTTGTCCACTGTCTTCTTGACCTCCATGGAAAATTTCCCCGTCTTCCGATTCACCATGGCATTTCTGAGCTAAAAGAAGGGAATAGATTGGCATTATTACTTCTCTCAATTATCACAGAATCCAGTCTCCTCATTGTCTGCCCTATGTTTGATGAAGGGGTCAGACTGGGGTTCACAAAAAGTAGAAAAATAACTTCAATTTGGGGCTTCAATTTGTTACAATGAAACCTTAGGAATTCTGGGTTAGCAGTGAGTCTGCTGCTCTCACACTTGTGAGCTCACAGAAATTAATATCCCACTCTTCCCCTTAATACAAGTAAGGCTTACAATCAATGACTCCCACATATAAGTTGTGGTCCTTAGGGAACCTTCCAGAAAGGCCCTGCCCATGTTGATGAGTTCCTGATTAGACCATGATAAGTAAAACTTAAGTTTTGAAACATCAAGTTCATAAAAGATGAGTTCACAAGTAAAACTGCAGTCACCAGCTACAACCCCTCATGGAGCAGGCACATTTCCAGATTCCCCCACTTGTTAGTTATCCTAAGCCTAAAAGCCTAACTACTACCATGTTACTTTGTGTTTATTTTTGTGCGTGTTACATTGTCCTCCTCACCTCCAAGTAGAATGTTCATTTTTGTTTTGTTTTGTTTTGTTTTGCTAGGCAGTGGGGTTAAGTGACTTGCCCAGGGTCACACAGCTAGTGTCAAATGTCTGAAGCTGGATTTGAGCTCCGTCCTCCTGACTCCAGGGCCAGTGCTGTATCCACTACACCACCTAGCTGCCCCAGAAGGTTAGTTTTTTGAAAGCAGAATACCTGAGTCAGGGTCAGAAAGACCAGAGTTTATATCTTGCCTCAGACACACTAGCATTGTCACCCTGGGCAACTCACCTAACTTGTCTTAGCCTGTTTCCTTATCCTTACAATGGGGTGAATAATAGCACCTAGCTCACAGGGTTGGTGTGTAGATCAAATGAGTTTATATATGGAAAGCACTTTAAACATGCTGGCCATTGTATTTATCAAAGCATGATATGAGGTAGATACCAAGTAACTCCGCACAGTGGGTGAAGGAAAGAACAGCAATGAAAGGGAAAAAAAGTCTGTTTTAACTCTTTCTTTGCTAAACGCAGATGGCCAGCTTGCTGGCCCTTCTGCGCTCACTGTCTCACATACAGGAGCTGCCCACCCACCTCTCCTGGAGGGCCCCTCAATGGATGACTCCTTCCAATAACATATGACCTTTCAAAGAATTCCAAGGAGGGCCACAGACAGGATGAAGGATGTGCAGACGGAGGCCCCAGTGGAAAACTCCTCTGCAGCACACAGCAGGCGGGAGAAAGGAGCAGGGCACTGGGGAGCCAGACAGCAGGCCTCACCCCACTTGGCCCAGCTCTCATTTGATTTTTTCCTTTTGGAGGGTCTCAGGTTCACTCTGGCCTATTGAACTGGCTCACTAAATTCTGTTCGTCAAGATCTGAGTTAACGTTCTATGTCTCTGAGAAAGGAAGCAAAAGAACACTTTCCCCCACTCTGGAGGAGGATGTATATAATAAAACATGGATTTTAATCTCTCTCTCTCTCTCTCTCTCTCTCTCTCTCTCTCTCTCTCTCTCTGTCTGTCTGTCTCTCTCTGTCTGTCTGTCTGTCTGTCTCTCTCTCTCTCTCTCTCTCTCTCTCTCTCTCTCTCTCTCTCTCTCTCCCCATATATATATGTGTGTATGTATGTGTTTACTCACACAACATAATATGGGCAATTCTGGAAATATTTTCTCATTTTAACTTTTGTGGTTTTGGACACAGAGAGCTGGTCCTAATTAACAGTCTACTTTCTAACTCTTCAGAACCACTCCATTTCTCTTTAACATGGTTTTCATTTCTCCCTCCTCCTTCCTACCCCTTCAGTTACTCAGGGTCTTCCCCTGCCACCGCCCCCATGCAAGGCGGAGAATCCCTCAAGAACCCTCCAATCTTGCCAGAGCTCACAAGATCAAGCCAATGTGGGGGCCTTGGGAAAATGAGCCCCCTAGCAGCATTGCAGCTCTCATGGGGCTCTGGGACCGGGCTGTTGTTGCCACTAAGTAGTGGGGCCTGGGGAACGGGGCTCCTGGGGCTCTCACAGTCTTGTGAGAGCCCTTGGGAGAGGGCTTCACAGTCTCATCTAGGACTGGCAGGGGAAGCCAGAGAGGCTGAGGGAGAGGCTCTGATAATCATAAGATAGACTTTATCTACCAAGGGAAAAGGGAAAAAATCATCAAAGCTAATGAATTATTCTGCAAGGTCCCACATTATCTCTAAGGCAAAGGGAAACTTTACTAAAAATTCTGAATAGGAATCTTCAGAGTCTGTGAAATGTAGGTCAGGATTTAGACTGCCCACTGGAGATGTGAACACAACACCAGGAGAAGAAGGGTTGGAGGGGGTAGGTGGGATCAATGAATCCATTGAGAAGCTTTTTTAAACAACTACTATATGTAAAGAACTCTTCTGGGTGCTGGAGACAAAAAGACAAAAAAAAACCCATGCCTGCCTTCAAGCAGCTTACAGTCTATCAAAGAAAACAGTAGTGCCCATAAAAATATATTTAAAACATAATAAGTAAGCTAAATTAAAATTCATTTGCAGGGTGAGGGTGGAGGCAGAGGAAGGACTAGCAGCTGGGGACATCAGGAGCAGTCTCATATGGGAGGTCATGTTTGAATGGAACCTTGGAGGAGGTTAGGGATTCTTAGACGTGTAGCTGAGGAGGAAGGGCATTCCAGGCAGGGGGCACAGCTTGGGCAAAATCACAGAGACCAGAGATGGAGTGTGATGTGTGAGGAATGAGAAGAAGGCCAATGTGGCTTGACCACAGAGTCCATAAAGGAGATTAAGGTGTGGAAGGCCTTAAACTCCACTGACATTTTGGTTCCCTCCCCCATTAGACTGTGAGCTCCTCAAGGGCAGGGGGCTACCTTTTGTCTTTTTTGTATCTCCAGTGCTTAGCACAGCGGCTGATGTGCAGCAGGTGTTCAAGATTTATTTGTGAACTGATTGATTGTGCACATTAGGTCATCACACAGACAGACACACGTGATTGTGCACATTAGGTCATCACACAGACAGACACACGTGATTGTGCACATTAGGTCATCACACAGACAGACACACGTGATTGTGCACATTAGGTCATCACACAGACAGACACACGTGATTGTGCACATTAGGTCATCACACAGACAGACACATGTGATTGTGCACATTAGGTCATCACACAGACAGACACATGAAGCCTGAGAGGGGAAGCGGCCCAGACCGCTTGTCCTGCTTCCATCCCAGTCCTCAGAGCTGTAATTTGGGGAGCAGCTCCTGTGGAGAAGGTGCTACCCTTTCCTACCAACTGTCAACCAACTGCCACACACAGGGAAGGCAAGCCACCAGCTAAAGCAGGAAGGTCCCGACAGAGAGGCAGGAGGCGGAGTGTGCCAGGCAAGTCAAACCACTGCCACCACCTTGACCAGCATTTCCCCTTAGGCTCTAATTGAGACAGCCTCTGAATCCAAAAGTCATGGGTACATTCGGGCTTCCAGTCCTGCCCTCTGCCATCATCCTTGGAAACCAGCTCAGTGGGGATGCAGCCTGGGGAATGCTTTTGTATGGGTTATAGCTTCATCTACTGAAGATCCAGAAAAGAAAGGTCTGGTCACCAAGGTCCTTGGCTTTATCAAATGGTCCAACCTCAGAACCAGATAAGATTTTAGCATTTGAAATGACATTAAAGAAGAGCCTTCATCATCTGCTTTGCTGCTGCACCTTAAGGACCGTGCAACCTTTCCATCAGATTGGGAGCTGAAACCTTCCTTGCGTATTGGGTCCCCTATCAGAAGGGGAACTCTTTGAGATCTGTGGCTGGCTCACTTTTCTATGTGTAACCCCAGCACTTAGAACAGAGCTTGGCACGTAGTAAGCACTTAATGAGTTCTTTATTCCTAATATGTTCTTTTTTGAAATTTCCATCTTCTCAGACTAAAACAGTCTTACTGTTGAGTGTGAGGTGATCTCAGATACTTGGAAAATTCCATGATGTCATCATGCCAAAATGTGAACAAGTCAGATCTTTTGAGTAACTTCAGGAGAAATGGTTCCAGAGAAGTATGTCAATAATGCTTGATATTGATCAGCTTTTTGAGCACAGGGTGATTACACAGAGTTTATTTACCTGCCCTTCTTCCTCTCCTGCTTTAACTTGCTGGAAAAAATGGAGATTGGAATGTGTATTAAAATGACACAGCTTTTTTGCGTGTGTGACCCCGGGCAAGTGACTCAAGCTCCCTTAGCCTCATTCTTCTCAGCTATCAACTGGGGATGATACCAATAGTGTATACCTCATGGTGTTGCTGTGAGAATAAACTAAGGAACAAATTATATAAGACATGTAAAGTTATTTGCAAAATTTAAACGCTATTGCATTCTAACTATATCTAATTATATTTTTTAAATGATGACAGTGGGGGAAAGCATTGTGATAAAAGGAATCGCCAATACTTCTCCTCTAAGCAGACTGTATCTCAGAGAGGTAGCTTTCCTTCAGCACTAGATCCTCAAGGGTTGGGAGATGCTGATGTCTTTGACAGCTCTTGCCTTCCTTCCTGACATTCTCAAATTTGCTAAATTATCTGTCTTTAACACTGCATTCTCCTTAACTTCCTTCATGGCATCAACCTTCCCTTCTTATGCCCCATGAGTACTTCTCTTCTCTTGTAGACACACACGCATCCACACAGTGAGAGAGAGAGACAGACAGACAGAGACAGAGAGACAGAGAGGTATTTAATTCCAACATATTAAAAAAATCTTTCTAATCCTGGCTTCTATTTTTAAAATATATTTAAAAGCCCCTTCTTTAATTGTATTTTTAAAATATTGAGATGAAGGTAAGAATCCCTTCATCGCTATACCAATTTATATCCACATGACTACCATTGTGAGGGTCTCTCTGTCTCTCTCTCTCCCCTTTCTTCTCCTCCCTTCCCTTCTCTCTCTTCTCTTCTCTCTCTTCCTTCTTTCCTTCCTTCTCCTCCTCCTCTTC